TTCTTGCATTAAAATTCCTAATAAGAATTTTGATCAAATTGATAGCCAACGTATTAATTTCTTTTGGGAACATTCGGTGTCTCAAAGGAAAATTCATTTGCTTAAAAAGAACCATTTATTCAAGCTTGTTAGGCAAGGAGGCTCAGGTTTAAGGCCTACTAAGGTAAGTAATCAATCACTGCTTGTTAAACAAGCATGGAGAACTATCACTACAGAAGCACCATCTTTATGAGCTTCCATGTTGCAAAAGAAATATGTATGTTGGCCTCATTCTTCTCTCCTTAAGAAATCTTACAACTCTCTTGGATCTAGAAGGGTATCTTTGAGCTTAGTTCTTTCATCACCAGCAAATTGACTTGGAAAGTAGGTAATGGAAAAAGGATCCCTATCAACCACCCTTTTTGGTGGCCTATGCTTTAGATATCTAGCCCTTCACAAAATATTTGCAGGGTGTCAAATCTCATTCTGCATAACCCTTGTTATAGGGAAGCTTTGTCTTAGAACTCACAAGTTATCTCTTTGATGTATCCTCAAGATATAGCCAACAAAACCCTCTCTATTACAATCTCCTCTACCAATAGCTCAGGTCAATATGTGGTTAAGGCTCACTTTCATTTTTTTCTCAAGGAGAATTATGGCTCTAATCTAACCTTCCGACCTTTTCAGAAGTTCCTTTGGTCAATTTCATTGCCTTTTAAACATCTTATTTGGAAACTGCTGAATAGGGCTTTATCTCACACCTCCTTTAAATATCCCATTGTACATCAATTGAAACCATTAGAACGTGTTTTGTAATGTTTTCAGATGAAAAATTTCAGTTTCAAAATTTCACATTTAATTCTGTTTGTGCACTGTTCATCTAAATTTAGGTCAACTTTGAAAATTCATAACTAATTCTAGAAAAGTCAAAACGAAGTGGTTCTAATTTTCACACAAAGCCTGATAAAAGTTCTATAGATGAAAAATATTTATTAGACTCAATTCTATCCAGAACAAAACCAGAAAATTCGACAAGATGCACTATTCATATTGTAAATTTTTGAATTTCTAGAATTTTAGCCCAATTTTGGAAGGGCATAACTCTTAGTACAAAACTCCAAATTTAATGATCTACCACTTGATTTAAATCTAAAAATGAGATATATTTGCTTGCAAAATCTCAAGTCTAGATTCTATCATTTGCTTATGAGTTTATGTGACACAAAATTGCCTCTTTTTAGGGTATTTTTATCCCCCAAACCATATTTTCTTCAATTTTCCTTTCTCTTTTCCAATTGCCATCCATTCCAACACATCACACCATGATTATAAACCATCATACAGCATTATAATTGACATAATGTCAAAGTATTCCATATCCATAATCCATTACAACATTATAACAAAGTTCAACAAAATACAACATAACTTAATACATTGTCAAAAAATCTCCATGACCTCCCTAGCTCAAGCCAATTCTTTGCCCTTATTTATACTTGGTCCACTTCCTATTAGTGCATAATTTAACATGGGGAAATGAGATTTCATGGAAATCTCAGTAGCAATAAACTATAATCATCATGTTAATCAAGCAAGGCATAATGTGATATGTCATAAAACTTCAAACATCCTCAAGTCACATGAAATCACATTTTTCATCAAATCAAGAGAGGAATCAAACACACTTTCACATTAACATATTATTATGCATTTGGCCAAAGCATATCAGATGTCATAAAATCAACAATGCTGCAAAATAAATTCCTTACTTCAAGCAATCTACATAAGCACGTTACACAAGCAAGATAAACAATCAAATTACAATTTAATACTACATCTTAAGCTCAAACCAATTCTGCCTCTTCAAGGAATTTGAGTTTTGCTTGATTTGTCTCCACAAAACCTATCAATTCAAGTTTAATTGCAAACCACATTAACAATTATACAGCCTAATTACAACTCTTTAACCTTAACCTATATAATTCCCCTTTTTCTTTGATTTCTAACAATATTATTCCTCCTTTAGAATCAATAACCTCATGACTCATTCATATATAATTTTTCATGAGGAATCCAAATATGCAATTAGATTTTTGAAATTCAAACTCCTTCCCCATGAATTCACCTCGGCCGAATAGGGTATATAAACTTCTAAAAATTCTATTTTTGATTCCAATGATTTTAAACACTTCCCAACCATATATCCCTACACAAAAACATGTTTTAAAGCCATTGGAACCATCAATTTAAGCCAAAACAAATTGCTTCTGCATGAACAATGTTTGCCCGAATAGAACCCTCAAAACACTAACTTTGATTTTCTTTCAAAAATCAATCCATATACCATTTAATCTTGCTTATTCCACTTGATTATCAAGGTTTCTATCCTTCCCTAAGTGCCACATGCTTCAGCAAAATTGGACAGCATTTTCCCATGATTTTCCAAGCTAAAAACCCTAACCAATCAAGCTTGAAACTTAGGGGTAAGGATGCTTAAACATACATTGATGTTTCTTTGAAGTAAGTTGGATGATTCCTTGCCTAAAACACTTAAAAATTTAGAAGAAATAGGGTTGGAGCTACAGTGACAGAGTCTCCCCTTATTTTTTCAATTTTTCCAACGTTTATTTGTATTTTCTAAGGGGGTATTTATAGAAAAATTAAGCTGCCTCTCCCTCTGATTTTGGATGACCAAATGGCAAAAAAATGGGATGAGTTGGCAGCCATCAAGTGCCTCAAACCTTCAGACCTCACCATGTGGCTTTTCTCTAAATTTTTCCACATAATTATCCCTTAATTTCACATTTTATTTAATAAAAATAGAGAGACCTAGAAGCTGCAAGAAATTGGGCCCTTATTGGGCTCAATGCGAGCCCCACAAAAGGTTTGGGCTAGTCCAAAAAGATGACTCACAAACCAAATCATTATCTCAAACCAATTTGAAACTTTATCGGTTACTATTACTAATAAAATTTTGTAATTTTTCCAGACCTCCAAAAATTTATTTCTCTCCATGATAATTCACCTTTTAATATGAGAATATGATCTGAAAATTTTTAGAATTTTTTTCCAACTCTAGATATTTATTTTGATTTTTTTCCAATTAGGCCTTTATCAGTATCACTACCTCTAAGGCTTAAAACCAATTTTATAATTTCAAATAAATATTTAGATGATTTATCCATTTTTTTTTCAAATTTATTGAGGCCTCTAACTAATTAAAATAATTATTTTTCTCTGATTTTTCACTATTTTTCCAAAAATCCTCCGTTTACGAGAAATTCTGAAATAATTTATTTCCGCCTTTTGGGCCTCAACCATGTTTTCAAAACTTCTAATTCACACTTTTCCTATTTTCAGGAATTTTCTAGAAATTTTTTTATTTTTTCCATTTTGCCATTCCTAGAACGATAATTACGGAAAAGCCAGCCCGGACCTTATCGGGGTTTCACATCAAAAATTATTTCACCTCCCCGTCTAGTCTCTACATTAGTCTTCATCCCAATTTTTGATTCCGCATGTCTAGGTGAAATTTCTTGGGATGTGACACTTTCCCTTCCTCTAATGTTTTGCAACAGAATCATTTGAATGTTGATCACTCATGCCTCTTCGGATGCTCTGCTAATGAATATTCACTGCACATATTTTTTTTCAATATCCTTTTTCACAAGCATTATGGTTTGGCTGTTTTAATATTTGTGTTCCACATTTGGATCTAAATCAATCTTTATGTTGGTTGAAAAACCTGCTTCATGCTCTTGGCGAGGACAATCATGTGGATTTACTCAGAGGAATCATCATTTTAATTAATCTGATCTGCTTCAAAAGGTATATTACACTACTTCAAGGGAAAAGCTTCATGCCTGAGAAGATTATTCAGGCTTGAAAATTCTGCAAGACAGTCTCTTTCTTTGCTCGACTCTGAGGAGCAACTACCAAGAAGTTATTCTCGATGGACATTAATTCTTTTTTAAACGTAGGACTGGGTAGATCAAAGTTACCGTTGCAGGCTCTGTCATAGCAGCAGAAGTATTTAAATGGGCGAGATTTTTTACGTGGATGTCTTCGAGCTTCACCATATTGGATTCATCAGTCTGGGTCGTTGTTACCTGAAATTAAAGCCTTGCACTCTCAACAGTAGAAAGGAAAGGACTCTCTCTCAAGAGCTTCAAGCAGCAACAAACCAGTAATATTCAGCAAGATATTATTAGTTTTATTAGCTTTCTTTCATCCAATCACTTCCAGCATAGTCACTTTTAAATATTTTGCTACTTAAGTTCTTATTTATCTCCTAATGCTGTGCCTTTTAACCTGTTAAAAAAGAAAAGATGTAACTGAAATGATGCTATTGGTTCCCATGCAAGCATGCTAATTAGGCATGCCCAATTTGTAATAACCTAATACTGAACGTAGTTTAAATGACTTAATATTAAACTAGGCGTAATCTTCTAGTTCCAACCCCCCCCCCCAAAAAAAAAAACCTAGAAGTAATCTTTGCCCCGAACAAACAAAAACTAAATGTAATTAAATGAAATTTAAAAAATAAATCACATTTCGTATTTGTAATTGGCATAATCTGCTATATATTACTGTAATTATTAGTTATTTTCCGCAGTTCTAAATAATTCGATTTTCCAAAAACAAGTTTGCACATGTTACATCTTTCATTTTCATAAAATCTTTCACAAAAACATAACCGTTTCACCGAATTGCGTTCCTTATTGAATTAGCAAATATAGTGAAGCAATCCACGGCCACAAACATCCGTGGTTTTGAAATATAGCCATTGTATTGTTGAAGGAGAAAGAAAAAACTTATCCCTAGAAATAGCTGAAAATTAAAGGAGTATGAAAAAACATAGATGTACACCTCAGTTCAGAATATAGTTTGATTGGTGCTTAAAATGTACATGTTCATAAATCGTAACCCATTGATAAGCCACCAATTTTAAGGAAGGAATGAACCGGAAAAAAAAAACAAAAGAAAAGAAAAAGAAACCAACTATACTAGTAGAATACATGTAAAGGAATAAAGACCCAAATTATCTGGCATGCTTCATTACATCAACATAAACAAAGTCATGTTTAAAGGAAGTTATGATCACACTTTACATCATTTTCTCATCTACAGTAAGCATTTTAGAGGTGTCAGCAAGTGCGATTAATCATTCTAACCTATCTGCCAAGTTAGAAAGGCCAGAAGCAGCATCATAACCTAGTGACAGAGCCATAATCAAAATATCAGTTGTCACTAAGATAAGAACACTAAAATCTAGCTAGTCAAATTACATAGCCATATCAACATGTTCCCAGAATCAGCATGTACTGTACTGGAATTAACAGCAAGCAATTTGTGACTGCAACCAAAAGCAAATATTCCATTAGAATTCCAAGCACAAATATTATTTATCGAAGTAAATGCATGACTGAAAAATGCAGCCATTCACTTCCTCAATCATAAATTACCCCATACCATCATAATCGAATCTTAATAAGTTCTGTAAACTGCTTCTCTTGCATCATTCATCCATTCCCTCATTGCCTCAATCTTCCCAGGTCTTGGGTTGATATAATATAGTTCATAAATATGCATGTAATACTATTTCAAACAAGATCGATTCTGAAGAATACACAGACAATAAGGAGTTTTACATGACTGTAGTCGCAAGCCCAGAGCAAACCATGAAAGTCAAAACCACAAAAATCAGAGCCGGAAGAGCTTATAAGAAGCAATTTATTTACATTCCTGATTATGGCAATGAGAAGAGCATACACGACACAGGCTACTTATAACCCTGATTATTACAGTAATCAATTTTCAGTTACTTTCAAAATGATGAAAATTAAATTAAAAATATTTTTAATTTTAATGCCCACACCACATTAAATACAAGTAATAAGCTGAATCATGTAAACGCCGTTACAGATCCAGAGGATCATCAGATTTAGAGACATCACAGAATTAATCTTTCTACTGAATTTTTTGTTTGGCCTGAAATCGATTGATTGAATTTAAATGATGAGTCCATGAAGCTCGATAATGATGAGGACAGATAACACTACTGTAACTTTAACAGGAATCATCATAAACACAAGTATAAAAATCTACCAACCATAGAATTTCATCAGCTTCATGATCTTCTGAATATATGATGACGACCCAACACTTCTGGTATCCCCAATGCAGGAATGCTCTCACAGCCAAAGATCTCCCGAAGCTTTGCATCACATAGTATTGTCATAGGATTCAGTGGATCCTAGGAACGTATTGCAGGATCAAGTCAATATGTTGATTCCCATTTCCCAGCAATTATTCATTATAAAACTTAGCCCCTGAGCAATCTTAGGAAAATCAAACTCTTGCATCATCCTTTTCCTACGACATTTAGCTCTACCTGAATGTTAACTTTTCCTCCACAATTGTCCAAAATGCTGGACTGGAAAAAGACGCGGTAACTTAATAATGACTCTGTAGTAACAGATATATTAATAAATTTGGATAACAAATACTAACATTAATTTTATCTTCTTTGCCCATTGATATAAAAGCTTTACAACTTGAGCTTTTGCTAAATATAAGAACACAAGAACTAATATAAAAGTGGTATTGCAAGCCTCATTCAAGATTTAACCATACTCAGTGAAATAGAAATGAATATACGCAATACAGAATTAACGCAAGATACTGATGCAAAAGTAAATATAAGAACACAACAAATAGGGGGGAAAAAAATTAAAAACACATATATGAATTTAGATGTTTAGAGAGATGTTGAGCTGGAGTATGCCAATGCATAAATCTGCAACAGACCTTATTAACTCACAGATCTACATTAGTTATGAGAATTGCCAATTTGATTAACAATTATCATAATGCTCACCTCTAGCTGATTAACCTTTATATACTCCCAAATTCGTCTTAAAACCTCCGACTGAAGCATTTCCCTTCCAGTAGTACCAAAAAAGTTAGCAAGTGTATCAGATATAATTACAGAGAGTGAAGCGGATTCAGCACTTTGTGTTCCTGGCTCCACATCTGCCTTCTGCTTCTTTCGAACTGGCTGTTCTGAAAGTGAAAATATACAAAGAATTCAAACAGTGACCTAAAGCACAACATCATAAATATATCCCCATAATCTAGATACCTACTTGTTGGTTCCAGTGGGATGATGTGTTTAGCTAGCAGCTTATTCATCTTGAACATGTCAGTACAATCTGTCTCAAACACCACACGCAGCTCGTCATTGCAAATGATTTTCCTTTTGTTGCTAGGGTCTTGGAGATTGTTTTTCCTTATGTAAGCCCACAGTTGTTTCACAATCTAAACAGTCACATCACAAATTAGCAATCCTGCTAGGAACATATAAAAATGAGCAAAGTTGCTGATGAACTTCTAAAATATTAATTTGAACCTCAGTTCTTGGTAATGCTGGCTGGCCAACAATAACCTGCAGTTCAGGGGAAACACCGCAAAGTTTGTTGAGGCCTCCTGGGCCACCTCTTCTCTTTGCTTTAGTTTGAGTACTGCAAGGAGAAAGAATTCATTACTCGTAAGCCAGGCAATCATCACAGTCATGTTTGATCATGATAGATCTTGTCAATAGACACAACACAATTTTGATAAGCTGTATAAATAAGAAAAAGATTTCCATCATCAGTAAACTTGGCATGATTAGAAAATTGATGGGGGGACTCTGCCTTATTCTAAATAGAAATATCATGCGACAGTAACGTTTAAATGCATCTGCCAACTGCTATATTCCATGTACAAAACAGAGGGTTCATACAGCTACAGCAGCATGCTTCAACAAAGCAAAAGCAAAATTTGAGAACATCAAGACTTAGCATTTGAGATGTGACATCTTTTGTTTTATTTTCATAAATTATCTACCAGAATTGTTAGATAAAGAGCAGACACATGCGATGATACTCCAGGAGACAAGACCGGTTAGCCAACTGGGATAGATTTGACACAAGAGACTTCCTACAATCACGGATATCAAGCAAAGTCTTCTCATCTATGCTGTAATTTTGTCATAATTAAACGCTCAAGCAATGGAGAGTACAGCTATTGCCTTCACTGCATACTTGATCACAGGCTTAACTCTTCTAAACAGACCCAGTGGCTTACTGATTGTTAAAAGACAAAAAGACGCAGACAGGATAACTAGATGGCTTCAAACTAAATTACGCCACACATTAGCTGATACTGCCCCAGACGAGCAACGAGCTGACTCTGAGACCCACTATTGAAGTAGAATCACTAAGCCTAATCCCCCTAGAGTTCGCTGTCCACTTCTATTACTTCAACACTCAACAGAACACATGAACAGCAACAAAATGAGAAACCGAACCATTTTCAAACCCTACCTCTCCTTGGGGGCCTCAATGCCCAAATTAGAGGGAGGTTCGTGGCCGGTTCCATCGGCGGCGGCGGTAGCATCCGGTTTAACCGTCGCAGGATGAGAGGTGAAGCTTTGGAATGCCGAAGTTACCGGAGTAGGAGGAGCGGTTTGAAAATTAGGGTTTCGAGAAAGGATGATCTTGTCCTTCGAAGGGGGTGGTACGAGTTGAGGATGCTGTGGCTGTAGCAAGGGGCTTGCCTGCTGATGCGGCGACGGAGGCGGCCGCGGTGGGTAAGATCCAAACAAAAGGTTAATCTGTTCAGTGATGAAGTCGAGTTTGTGGGTAAGGTCGTGGCCGAGCTTGGCCTGAAGCTCCTGCACAACTTCATTGAAGGTGGTGAAGCTTCTTCTAGGGTTTGAATCCCTGAAGAGAGATTGTACGGCTTGCGATATTTCCTGGTCTGTAACCATTTTTCCTCCTTTTCCCTTTTTAACTGAAATTAACGGACAGTGTCTCTCTCTCTCCTCCCTCCTTCCTCGTCTCTCTCTCTCTCCAAGCTTCTCTCTTTCTCTCTCTACTCTCCCTGCTTCTCTCTTTCTCTCTCATTGTCTCCATTTCAAACAGATAATGACAGAACCGATTTTTCGGTAAGTCTTGGGCCAGTGCTTGAGTGGTTGCGGAAGGCTCAATAATACATCGCCACGTGTCTCGTATGCCTTTTCAGCTCTCTTTTTGTTTTTGTTGGAATTTTCGGCTCTTATTTTCTTTCTTCATGCTGATGCTCTGGGCTTATGAGCTAGGGATGTTTAACAATTTAAAAACAAAGCACTCTTGAATTTTAAAGCATGATTTGACTTAAAAATTATGTAAACACTACACATTTTGAGATAATTAAAGTTTGGCCCAAAACCGTAGCTCTTAGAAAACTAATGTTTTAAAAGAAGCAAAAACATTTTACTCTTGAATGGGCATCAGTGAATTGCCTTTTTTTGCTTAACTATATTTGTATTAAACCTGTTTTTTCTCTTTACAATCCCCACAAAACTTACACAAATATTTTTATATTTTCCTATTATATTTGATAAAATATACTACTTTTAGTTCTTAATATAAAAGCTAATTGACTAATTTGAATAGATTAAAAAAAACTAGTTAAATTAGTTATTTGTAATAAATAGATATTGTATTTCCTAAATTATCCTTACTAATCAAATATATGGGATAAAACTACCATTATTACAAAGATTATCTTGAAAAAAATAAATAAATATGAGAGACAAAATGGATTACAGTTTTATATTTAGAATCAAAATAAAAGTCAAACAAGCTTTTATATTAAGGACTAGAGGTAATATACTAAATTAATGACTTCAATAACTTATTGTAAATTTAATCAAATTATTTATGTTTAATATTTGCATTATATGATTATTAGAAAAAAAATTAGGAAAATTCATAATTTTACAATGAGAGTGTTATTTTTTAAAAATATATTTAATCTTATCTTTTATAAACACACTAATTATTAATTAATCATATAAATAATAAATTGCTCTTACTTATTCAATTTCTTAAAAAAATTATAGAATTTCATGTCTAAAATATTTAAGATAAAATTGTCATTTTTCAACAAAAAAACATATTTAATCTTATATTTTATAAATATATACATGTATTAATTATTAATTATTTATATTTTTATTATATTATTTATTTTGTTGGAAAAAAATTTACTATTAACAACTTTATTCTTTCAAATAAAAGTGTAAATTAAAATCTATTATTTATATAAAGGAAAATTAATTTGTTAGTCCTTATACTTTTACCCAATTTTGAAGCAGGTTCTTATAGTTTTTTTTTCTTTTTTATTGAGTCCTTATTGTAGGCTGAGTTTTTGTAAGAGTCTTTCTGTTAGTGACACCATTAGTTTAGGTTGACTTGGCACACATCTCCTCTCTCCTTCCTCCACCTAGTGATGTAAAACAGGAAAGGATTGGAAGGGATGAGAGGTTAGAGAAGAGGAAGAAGAAGAGAGGAGAAGTAGAGGAGCAGGGAGAACGGGAGAAAACTGATCGATGAATTCTAAATGCCAAGTCTGCTCACAAACTGAAACTCTAAACTATAAATAAACGAAAGAAATAAAATAAATAAAAGAAATAAAATGAGGGGAGTGGGAAAGTGGGGTGAATGGAGTAACTACCCACGATCTAAAATAAACAATAATAAAATAATTAATTAGTTAAATTAAAATCTGCATCATTTCTCCCCGGCTTGGAAGAACTCGCCACTGGAGAGTTGGACAGCTGGAAGTCATCAAGGAAGGCGGGGTCCATACGACGAAATTCATCCTCAGTAATCCATGTGGCATCTGCATCAGTGCAGCCTTTCCAACGAACGAGGTAACGACTAATGGGACCTGCTGGAGTGAATATCGTTTGCTCATCCATCACGGCATCAATGGCTGGGGCAGGCGGCGCAACCCTGAGTAACGGTGGAGTTGGGGCTTGGTAGGTCGAGGTACCTGCAGAATCATCAGAACACAAAGGGGGCGGCTCAAAGGTGCCCCGGTAAGGAACAAGATCCTCAACATTAAATACTGGACTGATAGCCATATCTGGAGGTAACTCTAATAAGTATGCATTGGGCCCTAACTTCTTGGAAATGCAAAATGGGCCAGAGGCACGAGCATGCAGCTTCTTGTAAGGCCTCTTGGGGAAATGCTCCGGCCGTATACGAGCCATGACAAAATCGCCAACATCGAACTCCTGGTGACGTCGATGGACATTAGCAGCTACCTTATACCTGTCATTATTTAAAGTTAACTTACGCCTAACCTCAGCATGAATATCGTGAAGGCGATGTGCAAAGGTCTCGGCAGACTCAGAAGGGCGAGCAGACAGGGGAAGGGGAACAAGGTCAACAGGCTGCTTTGGGTTGTAACCCTGAACAATTTGGAATGGGCTTTTGCCAGTGGATCTATTGACCGAGTTATTGTAAGCAAATTCAGCTATAGGCAAGACTAAATCCCAGTTACCAGGCTTATCGCCAACTAAACTACGGAGCAGGTCACCTAAGCTACGATTAGTCACTTCAGTCTGTCCGTCAGTTTGAGGGTGGAAAGCAGACGAGAACTTCAGTTGTGTACCGAATAGCTTCCAAAGGGTCTTCCAGAAATAGCTGACAAACTTGACATCCCTATCAGAGACGATAGTGGTAGGCAAACCGTGAAGACGCACAACCTCTCGAAAGAAAAGCTTTGCCAGATGTGAGGCATCGGTAGTCCTACTGCACGAAATAAAATGTGCCATCTTTGAGAATCTATCAACCACAACCAAGACAGAGTCGTGCCCTCTCACTGTCTTAGGCAATCCAAGCATGAAATCCATGCTAATGTCCTTCTAAGGTGCCTCAGGAACAGGAAGAGGCGTGTACAATCTAGTATTCCTCTTCTTTGCTTTGGCCGTATGGCATGTACGACACTGGGAAAGGATTCGAGCAACATCACGCTTAAGGGAAGGCCAGTAGAACCTATCTTCAACCAGGACCGTAGTCTTCTGAACGCCGAAGTGTCCGGCTAACCCTCCAGCATGCAATTCCCAAACAAGAAAATCGCGTACTGAGGTGCGGGGAATGCACAATCTTGTCCCACGGAACGGGTAGCCATCATTGATAAGGAAATCCACATGATCATGGCGGTTGCCATCTTTAACCTCGTTATAAATGATGCCAAAGTCAGGGCACGAGGTGTACTCATCCCTAAGCTGGTCAAAGCCCATGACACTAACCGTTAGAGTGTTGAGAACGTGGATTCTTCGACTAAGAGCGTCAGCTACTTTGTTCTCTACCCCTGGGCGGTGCTTGACCACGAAGGTAAACTCCTGAATGAATTCGCTCCACTTGGCATGTTTGGCATTCAAATGCCGTTGGGAGCTAAGGAACTTGAGAGACTGGTGGTCTGAGTATATGACAAACTGTTGGGGAAGGAGGTAGTACTTCCAATGCTCCAAAGAGCGAACAATGGCGTAGAACTCTTTGTCATACGTGGAGTACTTTTGCTTGGCCTCATTGAGTTTCTCACTGAAGTAGGCGACAGGGTGGCCTTCTTGGCTGAGAACGCCTCCAATCCCAACCCCGGATGCATCGCACGCAACTTCAAATCACTTGTTAAAATTAGGTAAAGCCAGGACGGGAGCAATCAAGAGTTTCTTCTTAATAGTGCTGAAAGCTGTGGGTTATAACCCCCGAAATCCCTTCTCCAAGCTTGATCTTCGTAGTGGTTACCATCAGATTCGAATCAGGCCAGGAGATGAGTGGAAGACCGCATTCAAGACACAAGATGGACTGTACGAGTGGCTCGTTATGCCATTTGGCTTAACAAACGCCCCGAGCACATTTATGCGAGTGATGACGCATATGCTGCAGCCCTATCTGGGAAAGTTCGTGGTTGTCTATTTTGATGACATCCTGGTTTTTAGTAAGTCCAGAGATGACCACTTGCACCACCTTAGACAGGTGCTTTTGACCCTGCGGAAGGAGAAATTTTATCTCAACCTACCAAAGTGCTCCTTCCTACATAGCCAAGTTATGTTAGGAGCGACGGGCAGTGTGTACAAAGGGCAGGGACGTAGTCAACGCGAGCTGATGACTCGCGCTTACTAGGAATTCCTCGTTGAAGACCAACAATTGCAATGATCTATCCCCATCACGATGAAATTTCAAAGATTACCCGGGCCTGTCGGCCAAGGCTATAGACTCGTTGAATACATCAGTGTAGCGTGCGTGCGGCCCAGAACATCTAAGGGCATCACAGACCTGTTGGCATCATTTATAACGAGGTTAAAGATGGCAACCGCCACGATCATGTGGATTTCCTTATCAATGATGGCTACCTGTTCCGTGGGACAAGATTGTGCATTCCCCGCACGTCAGTACGCGATTTTCTTGTTTGGGAATTGCATGCTGAAGGGTTAGCCGGACACTTCGGCGTTCAGAAGACTACGGTCCTGGTTGAAGATAGGTTCTACTGGCCTTCCCTTAAGCGTGATGTTGCTCGAATCCTTTCCCAGTGTCGTACATGCCATACGGTCAAAGCAAAGAAGAGGAATACTAGATTGTACACGCTCTTCCTGTTCCTGAGGCACCTTAGAAGGACATTAGCATGGATTTCATGCTTGGATTGCCTAAGACAGTGAGAGGGCACGACTCTGTCTTGGTTGTGGTTGATAGATTCTCAAAGATGGCACATTTTATTTCGTGCAGTAGGACTACCGATGCCTCACATTTGGCAAAGCTTTTCTTTCGAGAGGTTGTGCGTCTTCACGGTTTGCCTACCACTATCGTCTCTGATAGGGATGTCAAGTTTGTCAGCTATTTCTGGAAGACCCTTTGGAAGCTATTCGGTACACAACTGAAGTTCTCGTCTGCTTTCCACCCTCAAACTGACGGACAGACTGAAGTGACTAACCGTAGCTTAGGTGACCTGCTCCGTAGTTTAGTTGGCGATAAGCCTGGTAACTGGGATTTAGTCTTGCCTATA